CTTTGATGATGCAATAGGCATTTTCGACCCCCTTCCCGCGAAAAAAAAAAAAAAAATGGCTAGCAGTCCCTACAACAGGGTCCGCGCGCGCAACCAATGCGCATGCGACAACTACAAGGTGGTCGCTGATGGTCGCGATCTTGTCGTCTTTTTATGTCGACGATTTTCTTACCAGCTGTGACACAGAAGAAAATGCAACTGAACTTGCAGTCAACGTGACTTCCATATTGTCTGAAGGCCACTTCCATTTACGTAAATGGAACTCCAGTAGTGGTGAAGTATTAGCACGCTTGATTGGCAACCGTTCTCCTAACGTAGAGATGACCATCGAATCACCAACAGCAACTGTACTTGGGCTTCGATGGGATGCAGCAGCAGATGAGCTATTTTTCAAGGTAGATCTGAAAGAGAGCTTAGGCTTTCTAACGAAGCGATGGGTACTAAGTGCCGTCGCAAAACTATTCGACACTACCGGCATACTGGGACCAGTTGCTATTACTGGAAAAATATTCATAAAAAGGTTGTGGGCTGCTGGCTTGTCGTGCGACGAACCACTTCCAGATGAACTTCAAACCACCTGGGTAGCCTTTTACAGCAAACTCGACGTAATAAACAAAATTCGGATTCCGCGATGGTTAGGTATGGCTGAAGGAAGAGCTACTACCCTGCTAGGATTTTGCGATCCCAGTACGCTCTCGTATGCAGCTGTAATATACATTAGAGCCACAGATGCGGAAGGTCATTCAGCTGTATCCCTGCGTACGGCTCTTACCAAGGTGGCGCCCCTTAAAGGAGCAACGATCCCGCGTCTGGATCTTTTTGCCGCACATTTTCTCGCTGTTACCCTCGAAAACGTACGTATTTCCTTGAGATTAACAGATACTCCTTATTACCTCTGGTCTGATTCCCGGATTGTGTTGTGTTGGCTACGCAAGCCGCCCACTACTCTCAAGCCGTTTGTGTCGAACCGGGTGCGTCCAATACATGAGTTAACCTCACCAGACTGTTGGCATTATGTAAGATCAGCTCAGACTCCGGCAGATTGCGCCAGTAGAGGTATTCGAGCATCGCAGCTGCTGGATCATCCACTGTGGTGGCAGGGCCCAGGTTGGCTTATGGATAAGCATACACCCAACTTCTCTGTGATTGAATTAAACGACGAGGATCACGACATTCTGCAAAGCGAACAAGGAGTTTCATCCTTCGTAGCAAAAACAACCCATCAGCCAGCTCTCACTACTCGTCGACGTGATGGCCAGATGATTCCGTTTAGTGAGCGCTTCAGTTCACTTCTCCCACTCGTGCGTACGGCAGCACTTCTTCTACGTTGGCTTCCAACACGGCGGCATTTGCGTACATTGGTAGTCAGCCCAACAGAAATCGGCAGCGCTCTTAATATACTGATTCGAAATGAGCAACACGAGAACTTTGCGGTTGATTTGGCCCACATCCGAAAAGGAACTGGCGTATCTAGTTCCAGCAAGCTAAAATCATTGAATCCATACATGGATAACACAGGCGTTCTGCGCGTCGGAGGCCGCATCAGTAAAGCTGATCTGCCATAATCTTACCTAAACACGGTAGACTAGTCGAGCTGATAATCATTGGATATTGAATGGTAGACAAGCCGTTCGAAGTTACGGACAGAAGTGTGTTATCTGCCGCCGACACCGTGGCGTGACTCTTTCGCAGCAAATGGCATCATTACCAAGCCAACGTATCAGTACTTCACGGGCGTTTGTGTCTTCATGGGTCGACTATTGCGGTCCGTTTACTAGTTAGATTTTCCGTTTATTTAGTTAGATTTTCAACCAGGTGGTAACCCTCCTCAAACATGTTTTCTGCTGTAAGCCTTTTTAAAACTCTTTAGTTTCGACACCCACATGGCAATACTTCATTTATTTTATCAATTTAATTGAAATAAAATTTCAATCAAATTGAGTTAAATTTTCAAACAGATAACAACCCTCCTCAAATATATTTTCGACTGTAAGCCTTCTTAGAAATCTAAAGTTTGATACCCAAATTACCGTATTTAATTTATTTTATCAACATAACTGAGTTTAAATTTTGAAAGATGTGGCAACTTTACTCAAAAATTTTTCCAGCAGTTATCTTTTTTAAACCTCTTAAATTTAAAATCTATATTGTCATATATCATTTAGTTTATCAATTAAATTACGCTAAATTTTCAAACAGGTGGCAACCCTCCTTAAACATAGTTTCGGCTCTTTGGCTTCTTAAAACTTTTTAGTTTCACACCCACATGACAATATTTCATTTATTTTATCAGTTTAACTGAGTTAAAATTTTAAAATTGGTGCCAACCATTCTCAAAAATATTTACAACAGTTATCTTTCTTAAACCTCTTTAATTTGATACCCATATTGTAATATTTCACTTATTTTATCGGCATACTTTAGTTAAATTTTCCAACAGGTAGCAATCCTCTTCAAACATATTTTCGGCTGTAAACATTCTTAAAACTCTTAAGTTTGACACCCACATGCCAATATTTCATTTCTTTTATCAATTTGACTGAGTTAAAATTTTCAAATAGGTGGCAACCCTCGTCAAAAATAACTCCAGCAGTTATCTTTCTTTAACCTCTTTAATTTGATACCCATATTGTAATAATTTATTTATTTAATCAATATAATTGGGTTTAAAAATGTTCAAATTGGTGGCAACCCTCCAATTTTCGCGATATCATTGGTTCTAGTATTATACCGAACAATACAAAAAAAAAATTTCAAATCGGTCCAGCCGTTCTCGAGTTTTGACGACCGTGATATACGAACACAACATTTTTATATATATAAGATTGATAAATTTCATTAATTTGGCAAATTTCGATAATGCCATAAATTTTTATGGCTCGACAACTATCCATAAATTTCTACAACTAAGTTTGTGTCCATAAACTCAATAAAAGATTGATCAATTTCAATAATTCGATACGTAACGATAAAATCAGTAAGCATGGATAACTCGATGAATGTCGATAACTATACACTTGGATGATTCGATAAGTTTCGATAACTTTAAAACTTTCGATAACTACATTTTTTATGACTGAGTTTAATTTGATTGCTGTTGAAAAATTTCAATAATTCTTATGTATTTCTCATTTTTGTTTTAATTTTCGTCTTTATCTTCAATTTTGACTTCACTTTATTTCTTAATGANTAAGCATGGATAACTCGATGAATGTCGATAACTATACACTTGGATGATTCGATAAGTTTCGATAACTTTAAAACTTTCGATAACTACATTTTTTATGACTGAGTTTAATTTGATTGCTGTTGAAAAATTTCAATAATTCTTATGTATTTCTCATTTTTGTTTTAATTTTCGTCTTTATCTTCAATTTTGACTTCACTTTATTTCTTAATGATTAACATTTATTTCTTCATCATCACATTTGTCTTTATTACAAAGTTTAATTTTAATTACAAAGTAAAACAAAATGCGAAAACATCTCAAATTAAACATGTTGCAGCAACAACAATACGCAAATACAGAAACGACGATTTTGGCCGCAATTTTAAACCAATTTTGAAACCATAAAAACTGTCCCCATCTATAAAATATTAGCTTTCCGATGGTGTTCTTGGTTTTGAAATCGGTTAGGTAGAATCGCCAAACGAACGGAGACAAAATTTATGTTAGCGTATTAATATATAGATTTATATAAGTCCGCCAGAATAAATTGTTTAAATCCCTTTTCAATAAAACATAGACCGATTTGAAGGATATAACTTCGTCAAATCCACAAACATTTTCTCCAATAAATAGGGGCCGTGGAACATTTCGCACACGCTACGCTATACCTATAAATATATGTATATACGTTAGAGTCTAACGCATACTATACGCTATACATCTATATGCATATAAGTCCGCCAGAATAAAGTTTTTAAATCCCTTTTCAATGAAACATAGACCGATTTGAAGGATATAACTTCGTCAAATCCACAAACATTTTCTCCAATAAATAGGGGCCGTGGAACATTTCGCATACGCTTCGCTATACCTATAAATATATATACATTATAGTCTAACGCATATTCTACCTATACATCTATATGAATATAAATCCGCCAGAATAAAGTTTTTAAATCCCTTTTCAATGAAACATAGACCGATTCTAACTTCGTCAAATCCAGAAATGTTATCTCCGATAAATAGGGGCCGTGTAACATTTCGCATACGCTTCGCTATACCTATAAATATATATACGTTAGAGTCTAACGCATACTCTACCTATACATCTATATGTATACAAGTCCGCCAGAATAAATTGTTTAAATCACCTTTCAATAAAACATAGACCGATTTGAAGGATATAACTTCGTCAAATCCAGAAATGTTATTTCCGATAAATAGGGACCGTGTAACGTTTCGCATACGCTTCGCTATACCTATAAATATATATACGTTAGAGTCTAACGCATACTCTACCTATACATCTATATGTATACAAGTCCGCCAGAATAAATTGTTTAAATCACCTTTCAATAAAACATAGACCGATTTGAAGGATATAACTTCGTCAAATCTAGAAATGTTATCTCCGATAAATAGGGACCGTGTAACATTTCGCATACGCTTCGCTATACCTATAAATACATATACGTTAGAGTCTAACGCATACTCTACCTATACATCTATATGTATATAAGTCCGCCAGAATAAATTGTTTAGATCACTTTTCAATAAAATATAGGCCGATTTGAAGGATATAACTTCGTCAAATCCAGAAATGTTTTATCCGCTAATTAGGGGCCGTGGAACATTTCGCATATATATATAGGTATATAAGTCCGCCAGAATAAATTTTTTAAATCCCTTTTCAATAAAACATAGACCGATTTGAAGAATATAACTTCGTCAAATCCAGAAATGTTTTGTCCGATAATAAGGGCCGTGGAACATTTCGCATATATATATATATAGGTATATAAGTCCGCCAGAATAAATTTTTTAAATCCCTTTTCAATAAAACATAGACCGATTTGAAGAATATAACTTCGTCAAATCCAGAAATGTTTTCTCCGATAAATAGGGGCCGTGGAACATTTCGCATACGCTACGCTATACCTATAAATATATATACGTTAAAGTCTAACGCATACTCTACGCTATACATATTTATGTATAGAGGTCCGCCTGAATAAAGTTTTAAAATCCCTTTTCAATAAAACATAGACCGATTTGAAGGATATAACTTCATCAAATACAGAAATGTTTTCTCCGATAAATACGGGCCGTGTAACATTTCGCATACGCTTCGCTATACCTATAAATATATATACGTTATAGTCTAACGCATATTCTACCTATACATCTATATGTATATAAGTCCGCCAGAATAAATTGTTTAAATGACTTTTCAATAAAACATATACCGATTTGAAGGATATAACTTCGTCAAATCCAGAAAGGTTTTCTCCGATAACTAGGGGCCGTGGAACATTTCGCACACGCTACGCTATACCTTTAAATATATGTACATACGTTAGAGTCTAACGCATACTCTACCTATACATCTATATGTATACAAGTCCGCCAGAATAAATTGTTTAAATCACTTTTCAATAAAACATTGACCGATTTAAAGAATACAACTTCGTCAAATCCATAAATGTTATCTCCGATAAATAGGGGCCGTGTAACATTTCGCATACGCTTCGCTATACCTATAAATATATATACGTTAGAGTCTA